AGCTTATTTTCTTCTCTGAAGTTATTTGCTGTCCGGACAGTGCCAAAGTCATATTGCAAACACTCGGCCTTAATCATTTAATCCTACAGCTACCAAATGCAACACGTGGGAGTAACTTTAATTAATCACGTTCTACAGCAGAAAGGAATGGATTTCAAAGCTAGTATTACTTTCTTTCAACATTTTTCTTTTCCTTTTGGCATCTTAAAATCATCTAAATACAAAGGATGAGCGACAGATTGCCAACCAGCGAAGCAATGACTGAAGCAACTACGGAAATGATGATTGTCCTTGTTGCGTTGCTTCCTTCTGCTGCAACGCCGCTTTTTTGGTTCGGGTTGTTTTCATTTCCTGTGAAAGGCATTACAAACAAAATTGAAAGAATGAATTTTCTTCTACTAGCACTCAATACAAAAGGGATCAATGCAAATGGTGAAATAGGTACCTTCTGGTGGAGGAGGTGAAGACGGTACATCAACAGTAACATATTCACCGTCAAAAAATTGGCCAATCTCGTATCTTAAGTTACAGCTGGGTTGCAGAATTCTGCATCCGGTTTTGTTATAGCAGTAAGTTCTCATCTTTTCATCCGCCATGGCCTTCTCTAGACAAGCGCTGCAATTTTGTTGGGACAGATCCGGGGTACACTGCACTATGGCGAAAATTTTCTCAGGAGTAACAGTCATGCCCGTTGCCCACTTGAAATTAGGACCCCCAGCAGCCGCACGGGTGCTTAAATTTTTCAATAAGAAACTCAAGGTCTGGTAGAAAACATCAGCATCAGATGGCGTCGAAGAGTCACCTGTTCTCCATAATTCAGCAGTTGGATCGATTTCCATAATTCCGTAAATTTGTCGGTTTGAGTAGCGTAGAGTACAGAATTCCGACCACCCGATTGCTTCTTTATTTTTGGGACAGGTTTGTCGAAGCGCGTAGGTGTTGTTTTTCAGGCAACTTATGCAGACGCTCACATTTTTGTCTCCCCTGCAGAGTGCAATTGCGTTGACCTTGTCGGGGCTTTGGCCAACGGACATGTTATAGAAGCCATTATTGAAATCCTGGTTGGAGGAGAGTTGGAAGAAGAGACGATTTAGGTTGGCATCGTAGGCACTGTTAGCGGTGAAGTTACCGATGCTAGCGCAACTTTTACGGAAATCATCAGCAATTTGGGCGGAGCTGACATTCATGTGAAAAGCAGAGGAAAGTAAGAACAGAAAGAGTACTGAAAATCTCATTTGCCTAAAACAGATTAAATATATTTTACCCTGTTCAATTTCAGGCTAAATCTGTTAATGGGAGAAGGAGCAAATATGCCCTTCAAATTGAATGGTATATAAAGGAAAGGTACTGTGAGCAGTAGATGTGTTTGGAAAGGAAATTTTGTGTTGCGTTGAATTAGGATCAAGTCAAAGTCATCCCATTCCCACCTTCCCTTAAGTTTCCACAACCTTTATTTAGGGTGCATTTGAAATTGTGATTTAGATGTGTTTCTTGTAATCACACAATGTTTTTAGATTTATATGGTTTAGTAATTTTTTAGATTTTTTTTTTCAAATTAGAAAAAGTGACAGTATATATATACAATAATTTTATATATATAATTGAGAACTTTATATTGGAGTTTTTTTTACTATGATTTTTTT